TATAGTAAATATATAGTAAATTAATTAAATAATATACCAAATATTAACAATATATTTTTTAGCAATATAATTATATAAGAATTATAATTTGGTGCACCATGCACCATAGTGCACCCTGATCATGGGCATAAATAGTAATCGTCAACTGATCAAATCAGTTGTATTTTTTTTTTTTTTTTTTTAACGCGTTATCTAGTCACTAATATTTTTTTTTTTTATAATGACAAGTTCAGGTTGTTGTCGTCGCTGGTGTCATCGTTACCAGATCTTTTGTTTGGAATCAGTGTCATCATCGTTACTGGAGCCGTTGTTTGAGTTAGTGTCATAGTTTTAGCTTCATCGTTGGTGCCTTAGTGAATTATGCATCGCCGTTGTTGATGGGAATTTGTGTTATTATCAGTACGTCATTTAGGTGTCACTTATTCTGTGTTGGTATTGTCTGTCTTGGCTGGTGAAGCAGTATGTGGTACTCTTCTTGTTTTGAATGCATTACTAATAATTCTTTTTTTTTTTAGAGCATTCATGGAATTTGTAGACATTTGTCTTGGGATTCATGAAAAGTTTGATTTTGTAATTTCGTTGTTCTTGTTTTTCTTGATTGTGAACACGTTACTAACGCTTCTTTTTGTTTCTAGGTTTTTTAAGACGCCTCTGAGCTTTTTTAGGATTTGTGGAGCGTATGACTTTCGATCCAGGATGTATAGTTTCGTTTTTCGTTGTTTTTGTCTTGTAAACACGTTACTAACGTCTTTTGTTTTTTTTCTAGGTCTTGAGAACCATTTTATAGTTACTATTTGGAAGTGTGGTGTTGAATAAGCTTTTTGGAATGTTGTTTTCCTTGTGGTTCTCTTTTCTTTGTTTTGATTTGTTTTCCTTTTTTTCTTGCTTTTTCTAATGCTTTTTTTTTTTTTAGGTTATTACTTATCATTTTTCTGGTGCCAATACGCAATTGGTGCCATCGTTATTTGAGTGATGAATTACTTTTGTCGTTGGTGTCATCGTTATTTGAATTATCAAATAAAATACTTTCGTCATTGGCGTTATCGTTATTAGGTCGTTGATTTCGTCGTTATCTTTGGTGGTCGCCGTAACCAGCATTGTGATTTTTTGAGGAGTCTTATATTTGTTGTTTTTGCTGTTAGTTGT